CCCAGTGGGGCAAACCGGGGGCAATCTGCTTCAGTGCACATGGGAACCGTGGCACCGGGGCTGTTCTTCCGTCCTATCAGTTTACTAGGGTTGGAATCAACTGAGAAGCAACCATTTTGGGGGGGGTTGATTATTTGTTTGTTTTATCAAAAGATCAAAACAGGAGCTAAAGGCATTCTGGTGGTATAATAGTTAAGCAGTCAGCCGGTAATCACTAATCAGAAGGTCGATGGTTTAAACCCAACCAGCAACTTCCTGGTAGGAAAGGGCTGTTCGCATAGCGGCCAGAAACCCCACAGAGCCCTGCTACCCAGACAGACAGGAACCAAGCTTGAGTGGAAGTCACAGTCAGCACTTTTGTAGGTCTTTCTCCTCCTTCAGATTAAAGAGATGATTTATTTACCTTCCCGAAATGCCTGAGAAGAATTGTCATTCTACTGGGCAGTGCTAGGATGGAGATCAGTAAGATTTCCATGCAATCTGAGAATTTTGAATGAAACCCTTTCATTGTCTTGGCCGGTTCCATGATTTACATTGTCGTCCCTCTCTTAAATAAATCCTTTTCTCTGACCTTTCCATCTATTCTTGTCATGAGCTGTTTAGAACTTCAGGACTTGAGCATTTTGTCAAATGGTGTCAGCTGGTGCCACCGTGATTGATTATCTGCCGAATCTCTGACATGCTTTTGCAAGTTAAACTATGACAAGGAGTTACCTCTGGGGCAGGATACCGGCTTAGAGGAAAGAGGGAGATGTTTTTCTGTATATCTTTGTGTTCCTTTTGAATTTTTTGTCCCACCTGTAAGCCTTCCTTAGTTTAAAGACAATGTTAAGTATTTAAATGTAAAGGCTGGAGTCACCTTGCAAGTATGGCTAGACCAGAGGATGTACACTGGTACAGATAGGAACTGAAAATACAGGGAATCCAGAGCTGATGAGCCCTACAGGACCAGTGGTGTGAGTGGCGAAACAGGGAGGGAGGAGGGAGAGTGGGTAGGAAAGAGGGAACCGATTACAAGGAACTATGTGTGACCTCCTCCCTGGGGGACGGACAACCAAAAAGTGGGTGAAGGGAGACGTCGGACAGGGCAAGATATGACAAAATAACAATTTATAAACTATCAAGGGCTCATGAGGGAGGGGGGAGCCGAGAGGGAGGGGAGAAATGAGGACCTAATACGGGGGTTTAGGTGGAGAGAAAATGTTTTGGGAATGATGAGGGCAATGAATGTACAAATGCGCTTTACACAATTGATGTGTGTATGGATTGTGATAAGAGTTGTATGAGCCCCTAATAAAATGGTTTAAAAAAAAAAAGTAAAGGCTGGAGTTAGTTCCTCGTGACTCGATGATGTGGCCAAAGATGTGGCAGGCCCTCTCCATCAAGACCACAGCTGTGGGGCAGCTCTATTCTGTCCTGGAGGTCAAATGGGAACTGGCATCCCCTTAAAGGCAGTGGGTTTGGGAAGTTCTTAGGGGTCCCCTAGGTGACGGAAATGGGTAACACACCCAGGGACTGAAAGGTTAAAAGTTCCAATCCACCCACCTGGGCAGATAGGCCTGGCCGGCTGTTTCTAAAAGCATCAGCCTGTGGGGTGTCACACCCTGTGGGCCCACCCTGAGGTGGCGTGAACTCAGCGCTTTCCTGGTTTACAGAAGAACTGGCTGTGGTCTCCACCGGATTTCACCTCTCCTATGCATGGATGCCAAATCAGTTCTTACATTCCTATTGTTTCTGAGCATTTGCTTCCTTTCCTCATTCCTTTGTCCCTGATGCCTGGGGCCCTGAAGCTGACCTAATCCTCTGCTAGATCCACTTCCTGGCTTTGCGGTGAGCTCTGTGAGACTGGATGGGACCGTCAGCTCGAGGGAGCGGGAGGAAGGAGGAGCAGGAGGGGAAGAAGTGCCATGACTAAGCTTTTGGTTGCTTTGCGCTGACGGTGATTCCCGACAGCACTGCTGGCTGCGTTCATTCCGGGGTGCTCCGTAAGCTCCTGCATCCGGCATGCACACTCAGTGAAACGCTGCTGCCCATTCTGGCTTCTTGTTCTTGTCGCTACTGTCTTCTCTATTTTCGGCTGACTCTAGAGAAGGGGGAAGCAGAGCCTCTAAGAAAAAGGGGCAAGGTGTGTGTGTGTGTGTGTGTGTGTGTGTGTGTGTGTGTGTGTGTGTCTTGTGTCTCTATCCTGGTGGTCCAGCCTCGAGTTCTCAGGTT